CTGTCTGCCTCTGCATTCTAAATGCTAGGACTAAAGTCTGCCCACAAAGGCCCATTTTCGTGTCCTATAGACACTTAAACCCAAGACTAGGACAGAGACAGGAAATGACAGGAGAGAAATTAATCACAGTATCAAACATCCCTAAGAACTATAGACTGTCTTTGGCAAAGGAATGAGAAACAGGAACACTGCACAAATGGGTTCGCCTCTGCAGCTCCTTCTGTGAGCGCCATGGAGGACAAAGCATGTCTTCCAAAATCAGAGCACTCATGGCTCCAACCAGAGTGTTTTTCTGGAAAGGATCAATGGCTGTTAAAAAGTAAATGCTGCCAGGCAGTGATGGCACACTCCTTTAGTCCCAGGACAGCCAGGGCTACAGAGAGATGCCCTGTCTCAAAAAACAAAACAAAAAAATAAATAAAATAAATGCTGTAAAAATAAAATATAAACAAATTTTTTTCCTTTTAAAAGAAAAAAAAAAAAAAAGGAGCGGTGGTGAGTGCTTGAGGGACAGAGGTAGGCAGGCAGATCAGAGAGCTCTATGAGTTTAAGGCCAGCCTGATCTATATAGAGTTCCAGAATAACCAGAGCTTTATAGAGAATCTGTCTCAAAAAACAAAACCAACAACAAGAAAAAGGCAAGTAAGAAAGGAACCAATGCCTTATCACAATTCAGAAGCCCTGAGTTCAGACCCAGCACCACATAAAACTGGGTGTGATGGCATACACCTACAATCTCAGCACTCATGAGATGGAAGCCAGGGAGATGAAGTTCAAGGTTAGCCTCCACCACAAAGCCAGCTGAAGGTGAATCTAGGATATCTGAGCCCCTGCCTAAAAGAAAAAGATGAAAATGAAAAGAAAAAGAAAGAAATGCAGCTATAAAGTTCCACCGTGCCCATGTGTTCTTCCTCCTACTCCTGTAACACAGGACGGTATCACACACCTGATCTGCTACCAGGTGAGGTAATCAGATCCACACACACCATGACACTTTGGGAGAAAGAAAAGAGGAACATGACAGCCATCTCTGTTATAAATGGGAGTGCTCCTATTAAAAATTCAGACAACCTGCTTAATAATTGAAAATGCTACCTTCATAAACAGATTACATAAAAGACACTGGAGCCCAGCTAGTGCCTCACATCTGGGATCCCAGTGCTTGGGAGATGGGGGCAGCTGGATCAGGAGTTCAAGGTCACCCTCCTCATCACTGACACCCCTCCATTCTCAAAGAAATTAAATTTGAAAAATAGAAATAGGGCAGAGAGATGGCTCAGTAGGTGAAGGTGCTTACTGCCAAGCCAGAGGACCTGACAGCATACATGGAAGGAGATACCAAACTCCTCAGAGTTCTCCTCCAACCGCCACACAAGCACTCGGCACACCAATAAACGTTTACAAACAAAACTCTTAGTTTAGGTTAGGTATTTCCAGCACCTGGGAGACAGAGACATGTAAATCTAGTGAATTCCAGGCCAGTCAAGGCTACAAACTGAGACCATGTCTCCAAAAACAAACCAAAACAAACAAACAAAACAGATCCTTATTTTTTAGATAAACATAGAATTGTTTACATATAAAGATTAGCAGCATCAATCATTAAAGGCCTGCAATGGTGCCAAACCCTTTTAATCCCAGCACTCAGGAGGCAGAGGTAGGCAAATCTCTGAGTTCGAAAACAGACTGGTCTACAAAGTGAACTCCAGGACATCCAGGGCCACACAGAGAAACCCTGTATTGAAAAGACAAACAAAAAGCTTACACAGCGTCAGGAATAGAGTCAGGAATTGCTTTGAAAAGGGCAGGGGCTAGAGAGATAGATGCTTCAGTAACTAAGGGCTTGCTGCTTTTCCAGAGATGCTGTGCAGTTTCCAGTGTCAGGTGGCTCACCGCCTCCTGTAACTCCAGCTTGAGTGTCTGACCACACGCACCTGCATGTCTGCCTCACACAGACACTCATACACATAAAGAAGCAGTAAAATAACCTTTGAGAAGGAAAGGAAGTGGAAGGACTTCACAGATGCGCTGAGTCCTGAAACCCCTGGGACTTGAGGAACAGCACGAGAGGCATCACTCACCAGCTCTGTCTTTTATGTACATTCAAGATTTCTTTCATCTTAAAAATTTCAAAATACAGCCAGGTATGGTGGCACATCCTTTAAGAGGCAGAGGCAGATGGAACTCTGTGAGTTCAAGGCCAGTCTGCTCTACAGAGTGTCCTGGCTCCAGGACAGCCAGAACTATATAGTGAGACTCTGTCTCAAAAAAAAAAAAAAAAAAAAAAAAAAAAAAAATCAAACTACATATACTGTGGGAATGCTTCGCTTTCCTCTAAGCTCCTGCACTACTGGTTAATGTTCTGCCTTTGCTCCTCTATGATATATCCAGCAGAGCTGAGTCACCAAGGCTACCTAGCTCACCTTACACTCACATAAAGATTAACTTTCATCCCTTTGTGTGTTATCTGCTCCAGAACAGTAAGAGCACTCACAGAAAACAAGAAGCATCCTGCAAAACCCAGGATGTGGCTCTAAGTCCAGGAAGCTGAGCCAACCCAACATTGCTTTCCCCCAAGAGGCCTAAAAGCAAAAGGACCTAGGAGACTGCCCTCCACTCTTCATTCCAACCAATCCTTGGCCACTGGGGCTTCCCAAACTGCACATTCCACCAGGAACCATCCGAGCAAACAATTCTGACCCATTTTAGTCTGTATTCAGGACTGTGCAGCACTGGGAATGGTGGCACACACCTGTGATCCTAGCACTCTGGAGGCAGAGGCAGAGACAGGTGGATGTCTGTGAGTTCTAGACCATCCAGGATTGCATGGTGAGACCTTCTGAGGAGGAAGATTAAGGGGACGGGAAAGAAGTGTGGCCAAGTCTTCCCCAAAGGAATCAAACTGGGGAGGTGAAGACCAAAGACATTTCTCAAAGAGAATTTTACACAATTCACTATATTGAAACTTGGTAGAAATACTTTTGAGCAATTCCTTCCAGAGTCATCAGAGCTAAAAAAAAGAAAGAATCTCTAGTCCTGTCCCAGCACAGTTGTCGAGGCCTTGGGAAAGGTATGTAGCCTTTCTCAGGCTTCTAGCTTCTTATCTGTAAAGCAAGAGTGGAACTTCGTGGCTAATTACCACCTCAGAGACACTAGCAATGACAGTGAGAGCAGAATGGCAGGGTGGGCCATGGGAAAGAGCAAATGCAGCTCTGCCTGGCTCAGCCTTCTCAATGAGACTGGACCTAGAAGCAAGAGGAAGTTTAAAGAAGACACACTACACTAGGAAACAACTGTCAAGCACTGGAAAGACCGCTCCAGCCCAGGAAAAAGACAGAAAGTACTACAAGAACTCAAGCTCCAGGAAAAAGGCCAGCAAGAGGGCTCAACGATAAGAAACCACCTGGCCCCACACTGTCAACTCAGCAGGGAGCTCCAAGTCAACCAGGGCAATTCTTCCCAATTGCTCTATGGATGCTGCAAATACAGAGGTTTCAACAGTATGACTAATAGAAATGATATACCAACTTTGCCCCACACACACACACCTTTAGTTTTTAGAGACAGAGTCTTGCTATGTACCCAGTTGACCTCAATTCTGACATCCTCCTGCTTGCTAGACGTAAAGACTACAGATGTGTGTTCGACCACACCCAGCTCATTTTTATCTCTCTTCTTCTTCTTAAAGACCATTAAAACATGCAAATGTACTTGAACACCCACTTAACAAATGTCTGCATGTGTGAAAAAATGAATAACATGGAAATTAACAGATAAAAATTTCAGAGACTTCCAACCAATAAATAAAATAAAGGAGGAACATGTAACATAGTTGGTATCTTTTTCAGGGACTTCCAATCAATAAATAACTTTTTAAATGTACATTTGGTGCTTGGCCTACATGTGTGTCTGTGTGAGGGTGTCGGATCCTCTGGAACTGGAGTTACAGACAGTTATAAGCTATTATGTGGGTGCTGGGAATTGAACCTGGGTCCTCTCTAAGAGCAGCCTTCGCTCTTAACCACTGAGCCACCTCATCTATTCCCAACTGATAAATGAAGGGGAACCTGTGACATAGCTGGTATCTTCTGGGTTGCAGCAAAGCACACAGCCCTGGTGCCATCTTCACCTCATACAATTAAGTGCTGAAAGGACAACAGCAAGGCCTTGGTCTTGGAGCCTGCTTCCCCGGGAGCCCCTGGGGACCCTCACACATGAACTGTGCCTCTGTTACCCTTCCATACATCTCAGCTCTCCTGTGAGAGTGGAGGCCCTGATGGCTCTGCTACATTTGACAACTGGCATGAAACTCCTGGGCCCATTCTCTTTCTTTTCTTGATCATGGTGGCAGAACTGTGTGTGTATTCTAGCAAATGTGTGCACCCATGCATGAGTGTGCTTTGAAACAGGGTTTTACTTTGTAGCCCAAGTTAGTCTTGAACTCACTACATAGGCTAAGCTGACCTTGAACTTCCAGCAGTCCCATCTCAACCTCACAGATGCTGGGACTACCAGTATGCAGCATCATGCCCAGCTTAAGATTTACCTATGCTTGCTGATTTTGCCACTTTACTGTAGAGCAGCTATCTATCCTTTTATGTGATACAAAGGACTGAGCTGCAGGCTATGAGCATGAGTCAAATACTTTTCCACTGATTATATCTTCAGCCAGAAATTAACATTTTTAATGCCTAAGACCCTTCTGGCCACTAATTACAGTGTCTCAAATAAAACCTAGTACAACAAATGGTAAACACACAGTAAACTAACTCTACTCGAAAGGCATCTACAAGTCTGGCCTCTGAGGTCCTAACATTGTTGGTGGCAGAACCAAGGCACTGAAAAGGGTTTCCCACTCCCAGATCTAGGAAATAAGTAGCAAGTGTAATGTTAGAGGAGGGGTATACCTCCTCGGAGAGGGAATAGGGGATTCCAGGGAAACTACCCTAAACAGAAATCAGCGACACCTCTCCCGACCAGAACTATACTCAGTTTGTTACCTGTTCTGCCCCATACACCGTAGCAAATTGGATGAAATCCTCGATGCGAACGAAGCCATCCCCATCCCTGTCCAGAGCGTCGAATACCGTCCTGAGGCGTGCACCCTCCTCCTGAGCTGTCCCGGGCTCGCTGGGCAGCGACAACGCCGGGCCTGGGTCCGAGGGTGGCCCGGGACATGCCTGCAGCAGCTCACCCTCAGCGAGCAAGGGTTCTAAGGGTAGGCCCCGCGTAGGGCGGCAGTCTTCCAGCTCCTCCGGCCAACTGCACAGGACTTTGGGCTTCTCCGGCTCTTTAAACTGGAGACGCGAAACTTTGGGTTCCTCTCGATCCTCGGGCCAGAAGCAGGGAGCATCGGGCTCTTCCTGCCAGCACCGCGTTGTGTTCTGCTCATCCGGCCAGAGGCACAGCACCTGGGGCTCCTCTGACCAACAACGAGGTGCGTCGGGCTCATCTGGTTCTTTGGTCCAGAAGCACGGTGCGTTGAGAGCGTCGGGCTCCTCGGGTTCCTCGGGCCAGCAGTGAGGTGCATCTGCTTCCTCCGGTTCCTTGACCAAGATGCACGGTGCATCGGGTTCCCCCGGCCACAGGTGAGAGGCGTCAGGCTCCTCTGGCTCCTTGACCGAGAGGCACCCTGTGTCCACCTCCTGAGAATAGCAGTGAGGGGCGTCAGGCTCTTCCAGCTCCTTGGCCAACAAGCACGGTGCGTCTGACTCCTGGGGCCAGCAGTGAAGGACGTCAGGCTCTTCCAGCTCCTCCGCCAAGAGGCTCGGTGAGTCGGATTCCTCCCACTCCTTGGCCAAGAGACACGGTACATCGGGCTCCTGGGGCCAGCAGCTAGGGGCGTCGGATTCCTCCCACTCCTTGGCCAAGTGGCACGGTGCGTCTGGCTCCTGGGACCAGCAGCGAGGGGCGTCAGGTTCCTCCAGCTTCTCGGCTAAGAGGCAGGCTGCGTCTGGCTCTTGGGGCCAGCAGCGAGGGGCGTCAGGTTCCTCCAGCTCCTTAGCCAAGTAACAGGATTCGTCGGGTTCCTGGGACGAGCAGCTAGGGGCGTCGAGGTCCTCTAGTTCCTTGGCCAAGTGGCACAGTGCGTCTGGCTCTTGAAGCCAGTAGCGAGGGGCATCAGGTTCCTCCACCTCCTTGAGCAAGTGACAGAATGCGTCTGGTTCCTGGGGCCAGCAGCGAGGGGCGTCGGGTTCCTCTAGCTCTTTGGCTAAGTGGCACGGTGCGTCTGGCTCCTGGGACGAGCAGCGAGGGGCGTCGGGTTCCTCCAGCTCCTTAGCCAAGTGACAGGATTCGTCGGGTTCCTGGGACAAGCAGCGAGGGGCGTTGGGCTCTCTGGCCCAGCGACTAGGAGCGTGAGGCTCCTCTACCTCTTCGGGCCAGCAGATTGGCGCGTTGGGTCCCTCTGGCCACCGTTGAAGCTGGGCGTGTTCCTCGGGCTCATCTGACCAGCCGCGAGGAGCGTCGGGCCCCACCAGCCCCTTGACCCCGCGCTGGGGCCCAGACGCCGACTCGTCGTGGTCCGACAGAGAGGTCGGCTGGCTCAGCTCCATGATCCGGCGCCCGCTAAACTAGGGATGATACGAGAGGCGCGGAAGGCAGACAAAGGCGCTCAGGGCGCGGCGGCGGGCGCGGGCATCCCCGCGGCGACGCGGGCGGGCGCGCGCGGGGCGCCCGGACTGCTGGGGCTGGCGCTCGGGCCCTGCTCCGCCTTCGCCCATCTTCGCACCACACCTTAGCGGCTCCCGGCCCCGCAACGCGGCTGGCGCGGGCCCATGGCGGTGGCACAGCCCAGACGACGTGAGGACCCGGTGGCGGGGAGTGGACGATGGGAGACAAGCACCGGCCGGGCAGCGGAGGCTGAAGCCTGAGCTCCTGAGCTTAGGGACCCAGTGAGGGACGCCGGCGCCGGCGCCGGCCCGCCCTCCGTCGCGCGTGACGTCAGCACGCCGTGCAATCTGATCACGCCCCCCTGGATTGCTATAAAGGTGGGTTCGAAGCGGGCACAGTTTAGGGCGACAGTGATCTGCCCCGTTCGAATTTTCGGTATGATTTACGCGAATGAGATGAGTGAAGCGTTCTGTCGCAGGAAGAGTCTCCCGAGAATAGGCTTTGGGAAACTATTACTGAACGGGAAACAAAACATGCGCATATCCCAGAGAAGCCGCTAGTCCAGTCTGTGTGACTCCTTCACAAACTGGTGGTACAGACCAGAATACTAATTGGCAGACTACCACGTAGGTGCGAAGGAGCGCTCGAATTGCCCCGCCAGGTAAGGAATTACCCAAAGTCACCCACATAAGGACAGAATCTGAGGGGCTCACACGCATTCATCCACAGGAGCGCACAGTGAAGGGGCACAGATCTTGTTTTAGTTTGATATGTTGTTTGGTATCTTTTTGAAACAGCTACCTTTAACTCCTAATCCTGCCACCATGAATTATAGACTGGCCCCACCAACACTGCTCTGAACAGGTTTTTAAACTCGATATCCAGCGCTGATCGCCAGTATTGTTAACTAATGCCGTTGTCATCTCCAGAGGATCGTGGTCAGGGATGCGGAGCAGTTGAGTAAGCCAGTTGGAAGCGATAAGGTGCATCTAGACAAGAACTAAATTTAGCCATTTAGCCAAGGGAAACTCTGAACCAATTTTACATCTGTAGGCACCAATGGATAAGTATGGTTTCATAAGCAATTTTGGCAAAAGCTAAAAACTGAACTCCGTTTCCAGGTGTACAGCCGGCTAATCTACTGAGTCATCCCCCATGGCAAAATGCCCAGCACATTATAGGAGGCTTTGAGCAGCTGGCTTTGGGGAAAGGAAGATGATGTGGTCCTCTTCCCAAACTGTAGTCTCATTTTTCTGTAAGAACTGAATGGTTTTGTGAGGAATATATACTGAAAGAATAGAGTCGCTTCCATCTAACCCAAGGACTGGAAATTGCCTTTGGCTGATGAACATTGTCACAGGCAGCTCCAGTAAATGTCAGCCTTTCTATTTAGTGTGTCATAGTAAGTATCCACCTGTCCTTTGGTGTCCTTTGGTGTTCTCAGTCAGGTCCAAGACCTGTTTTCTGAGGAGCAGGTGTTCTAGGTGTGCGACAAGGCTAAGAAAATATCTATGACTTCCAGCGCTTATGTGCCGAAATAGAACCAGTGTGTGAAGAATGCACACCTCCCTGCTTGGACCAAGTAATGGAGCTACAGATGAAAGGTTAAAAGGAGCCAATCGAGGTGGGGTAGGTGGCTCAGTTAACAAAGTGACTGTCCTGCAGTCATGAGGACCTGTGTTCAGATTCCAGAACCCATCTTAAAAGCTGAGTATGTACCTATAATCCCAGCACTAAAGAGGCAGATGCAGGAGGGTCTCCAGGCATGGACACAGACGTGGTACACAGATATAAATGCAGGCAAGCACACATGAAATTATTTTTAATGTTTAAAATTAAACAAAAAAATAAGCTAGGAGCAGTGACTCAGTAGTTACAAGCAGTTACAGTGAAAGCATAAGGACCAAGTTCAAATCCCAACATACACGTTAAAGTTAACTGTGGTCCTGTGCTCTCCTGCATGCAACTCCAGCTCTCAGAGGTATAGAGACAAGATGACCACTGGGGTGAGGTGCCTGTCAGCCTAGCTGAAAAATTAAATTGTTACGTTTATTGAGAGATCCCGCCTCCAATAACCAAGGTGGATAGAGAAGATACCAGGCACCTTCTTCTGGCTTATACACACATGCACATACATACAGACTCACACACCAGTCCACATGTGTGTACATACACCACACATATCTCGCACTGACGCACATATAAGCATACACACAAAATAAGGTGGAGAGTGATTGAGGAAGACATTAGACACTTCTTTTTTAAAAAAAGATTTATTTATTTTATATATGTGAGTACACTGTCAGTCTCTTCAGAGAAAGGCATTGGATTCCATTACAGATGGTTGTGAGCCACCATGTTGTTTCTGGGAATTGAACTCAGGACCTCTGGAAGAGCTGTCAGTGCTCTTAACCACTGAGCCATCTCTCCAGCCCAGACACTAGACACTTTTAAGATGTCAATTTGTGTCCCCCACAAACATGGGCACACATAGTTGTACACACATGAGACTGAAGCAGAAGAACCAGCATCCATCCCAGCCCAGACACAGAAACAAGACAAAGAAGTGGTTTTCCTGAAAACCCGCTGACTCCTTATTCAAATGGACAAAACTGAAGGCAGAATGATAAGTCATTGCTCTAACCCTGCACGGGGAGGCCACACCCTGAAGCAGAGGCAATCATCACAGGAGAGCTGCATTGCTCCCCTGGAGTGCCGACAGCATGTATGACCACCTTGCAGAACCAGAACTGACACATGATTGATCAGACCACAGCTCAGCATGATTTGCCTGGCCCCATTCCTCCTGTACTTAAACCTAATGCTCACACCAATCCCGGGAAAGTGGACTTAGGATCCCTGAACCTTCCGCTCTGTTCTTTAGCTGTGGCTGCATTAAGTGAATCCTTTCTCCACTTCTCACCTCACTCATCTTTAGCCAGTATATCTGCAAGGGCAGCGAAGCCTGTTGGGGATACCAGAGCCAAAAGTTTTGTTCTAAAAATCTCAGTCACACTGCCTATCATTCCAATCCAGGAATTCCTTGACCAGAAAGACCCTGTATGGACACAATCTTCACTTGTTCCACATGTTAGTAGCAGAATGGCTGGATCATGTAGTCTGTACGGATTTTTAAATCTTTTTATAACAGTGTGTGTGTGTGTGTGTGTGTGTGTGTGTGTGTGTTTGGGAATATGTGCTTATACCTACACATACGCCTACACATACATACATATGTAAATGTGATTTTCAAAAAAAAAATCAACAATGTACCAGATGGTGGTGGCGCACGCCTTTAATTCCAGTCCTTGGGAAACAGAGACAGGCAGATCTCTGAGCTCAAGGCCAGCCTGGTCTACACTTCGAGTTCCAGGACAGCCAGGGATAAACAGAAACCCTGTCTCAAAACAAGTAAACAGGCCGGTCAGTGGTGGCACATGTCTTTAATCCCAGCACTTGGGAGGCAGAGGCAGGCAGATTTCTGAGTTAGAGGCCAGCCTGGTCTACAGAGTGAGTTCCAGGACAGCCAGGGCAACACAGAGAAATCCTCTCTTGAAAAACCAAAAAAAAAAAAAAAAAAAAAACAACAACAACAACAAAAAAGTAAACAAAACATTAACAATGCCCACAGCGGAATAAATATTAAGAGAATAAATGTACAAATCAAGGTACCTGGAGAGCTAGGCTGAAGTAGGGCTGAAGACATAGATGACTGCTTGCCTGACATTTGCAAAAACCTGGGTTCACAAAATATAACCACAAGAGTAACAAAAAGAGGGAAAAGGGTAAGTATGTTGCTACCCTCTTACAATCTCCACTCTTGAAAAGTGAGAGAGGAACAAACAGAAGTAGAAGGCTAACCTTGACTACATAATAAAATTGGAGGTGTGAGTGTTGCCCACATATTTGTGTGTTGAAGCCTAGGCCCCCAAGCTGGTGGCACTATTTTGGGATATTCTGGAAATTTAAAGAGGTAGGGCATTAGGGATGGATTCTTAGAGTATGTGAACTCATGCATGTGTGGGTGTTGTCTGTCTTTCTGTCTCCCCCAGTTCCCATATGCCATGAAGCAAGAACTTGTTCTGTTGCTACACTCTGTGATGAGCACAGACCATGGAGACCATGGAGAACAACCATGGAGACTGAGCCCTCTGAAAGCATAATCTCAAGTCTTCCCATCCTTCAGATGTTTCTGTCAGATGTTTACTTGTTTTGAGACAGGGTTTCTCTGTGTGTCCCTGGCTGTCCTGGAACTTGCTCTGTAGACCAGGCTGGCCTTGAACTCAGAGATCCTCCTACTTCTGCTTCCTGAGGACTGTCTATTTTCTCACAGCAATGAGAAGAGTAACTGCCAGGATCTTGTGGTGTGGTTTGAGAGAGAGAATGGCCTCCATAGGCTCATGTTTGAATGTTTGAATACTTGGTCCATACTTAATGAAACTTTTGGGGCAGGATTAAAGGGTGTGGCCTTGTTGGGGGCGTGTCTCTCTCTCCCTCAGTGTTGTGTCTGGAGATGCAAACTCTCACTACTGCTCCAGTACCAAGCCTGTCTGCTTGCCTGCCTGCTTGCTGCTATACACCCTACCGTGGTGGTTATGGTATCCTGTGAACCTCAAATTAAATACTTTCTTTTATAAGTATTTATAAATGTTTTATCACTGCAATAAAAAAGTAACAGCCATTTGCCTTGTAGTTGTCCTCTTTCATGTATGCCTACATTGAGAAAATTCATCTAGGTGTAAGTCTTTCTTCTTGGGGGAGGCTGTGACTACTCAGGAATTAAGAGCGCTTGCCACCAAGCCTGACAACCTGTGTTAAATCCCCATAACCCACAGAGTGGAAAAAGAGAACTTACACTTGCAAGTTGTCCTCTAACCTCCACACATCCCATGACAGATATGCATGTTCAGACACACACACACAGAGAAGACATCGAACAAAC